TAAACCCTTCATGCATTCAATTGTTTCTTCTCCATGCTCTTTGGCTGGCATGCTTGCCCTCACCTCATCTTATTGATTTGCCAAGCTACTAGTCTTCATCTAAGCACCAGTTCAGCGGCATCTCCTCTGTGAAGCCTTCCCTGGTCACTTGATGAGAGCACTTCCTTTTTTCCTTTGGCCCTTCTTGGTCTGGTCCTTACTTTGTGCAGTGCTCATTACCTGCATTACCTCAGACTATCCTGACTGTGTGTATCCCTGAAGCAAGCAAGATTCTGTGTTATTAAGCCCAGCACAACATCTGGCAGAAAGTCATTTCTTAGTGTTTGTTGACTGAAGAGAGGAGTAGTAATGGAGAAAGGGGAGGCCTGAGCAAACCTGATCTTCACTTTGCAATACTGGAAGAGAGAGAAGGATATGCCTCTTCTCAGAACCTGAGAAATACTACTGGGTCATAAGCCACAAGCACCCACTAGGAGAATTTACCCTTAAACTGAAAAGCCATCTAATTACAAGAAGGTGACTTAAGGCGCCCAGACTAAAGAATATATATAGGTCAGTTTTTCACTGTGGGTTCCTGTTCTCTTTACAATGTTCTCTCTGCCACTTTCATGAGCTACTGTGGCCTACTCACTGAATTACTGCCTTGACCATCCCCATCTCTGAGTGTCAAAAGGCAAGAGGAGTCTGAGATACCTTTCCAAACTCATGTGGTCAAAGGGGGTCAAAACTTCAGCATTCCTCATCTTCTCCCAAGGGCAGTGTCACTATTTCTCAGGAGCACCCTCCATTGATTTTTACTCTCCCCTGACATATATCTAAAAGCTTCCTATAGCTGTTTGAGCCCATCCTTTTCCTGGCCACCTATTAGAGAAATCTCACTTGTCTCTATCCTTAAAGTACCCAGAAATGAGCATATGCTCATGAACTAAACAAATGAGTTAATGGATAATAGGGGTTTCAAGGAGGACAGACTAGCATTTCTTTCAGACGTACAAAGACCCCATCTGGTGCCGTATTCTTTTTTCTTTCTTTTTTTTTTTTTTTTTTTTTTTTTGGTCTCTTAGGTTCTGAGAACACAAGAGGTAAGATGTTTGCCTGACATAATTAAATCCTTAAAAGCTCCATTTGTTTTGTTCTTGTTTTTGCAACAAATCTCTTCCTCTCCAATTGCAGCCAAAGAGAAGACATAGACTGTGAGGCTGCACCAACCAGCCGAACAAATAGGGCCAGAAAACCTATTCCTGCTTGCTCACTTACACAATAGCCCAAATTCAACCCAACTGCTCTACAGAGAGCCTTGGACATCTGGGAGCTTCCCTAGATGAGTGAGGTGCATGTGTGGCTGGGACACAGAACTGAGTACAAAGTGTGCCTATCTCTGGCAGTTTCTTCGGGAAAATCTGAGTGCTCAGAAACACTCAGGATTGTCTAGGAGATGAACACAGCAGGAGTGGAGCATGGGGACTATGTCTCCGAGAGGAGTTCTCATTCCTTTCATAAGGAGACAGGAAGAGACCCTGGGGAGCTCTCAGTGATAGGCCCAGGCCTGGTTCAGCTGCTGAGATGCAGCCAGGCCAATTAAATAATTGTGATGGGAAAAGAAGGGAAGCCACTCCTTTCAGGCAAACTCCCACCCCAGACAGAAGGCTCCATGCAGCTGTGGCAACAGCAGCAGGAACAACAGGGCAGGGATCTCTTCCTCTTCCTCCCACTTAGCTGAGAACTAATGCTTAAATTAGCACCTTAGAAACACCCAGATCTGCTGGCTGTGCCTTCCCTCCCAGCTCCTGCTACTCCCTTAGGCCCCCTTTTTAAGCTTGAGGTTCTCTTTCAAGTAAATGAGAAAAAAATAAAAATCTTCTCCCCGGGGATCCCTGGGTGGGGCAGCGGTTTGGTGCCTGCCTTTGACCCAGGGCACGATCCTGGAGTCCCGGGATCAAATCCCACATCGGGCTCCCGGTGCATGGAGCCTGCTTCTCCCTCTGCCTGTGTCTCTGCCTCTCTCTATATATATATGACTATCATAAGTAAATAAAAAAAAAAATTAAAAAAAAATCTTCTCCCCTAGAACTAGAGCTTTTCAAGTAAAGAATGCCCTCTGGATTCTTTCCAACCACTATAGGCTAGGGAGGGTTATTTAATGATGGAGTCCCTGGGACAGGCCTCTATTGGTACAGTGTGGGCCAGACGTTGATACCAGCATTGTCTTGTTTCCATTATGGCTAACGGAGACAGCCCCCACTCTGCCCTCAGAGGGGCTCTCACCGAAGGAGTGAGCATGAACAATAAAACTTCTACCAAACTGTATCTGTGTTGCTAACTACTGTGTCCCCAATACCTAGTGTAATATCTGGAACAGAGCAGATACTACATAAATATTTGGTGAATGAATTAGCTAAAACAGTGATATTAGCTCCCTATGATATTCCTGGGAAGACAGGGTGAGGAGCTATTGTTTAAATTTTAAAGAGATAGTCTGTCTTTGTTTGATAAATGAGAAAACTGAGTCCAGAGAAGGAGAAGAGACTTCCTAGAGGTCTCAATAAAAAAAATGGCAAAAAATGAAATAGGTCACAGTTGAGTCCAAGCCTGGGACCCTAGTTTTTATGGTCTACCCAAATACCTCTAAAGAGCCACTTTGCCCTTCTCTTCTGTGGTATACCACTTTGATTCCTTATGCCTTGAAACAAAGGCTCTTCCTGAAACTCCACCCAAGAGTCTGATGGTCTCAGTAATACACAGAACATTTAAGGAGTTCTGAGGATCTTCTAAACTTCAATCTGGGAACAGAGGTCAAGAGGTAGAGATCTATAGGGCAACATCTATGCCTCCAAATGGAAGGATGACTGTATTACCACTTCCAAAAGGCTCTCATTAACCTCAACAAGTATCCTCCTGCAGCAAAGGGCTCCTTTAGCCTTCAAGGAGAGGGTCTGAAGGCAGCCACAGCTTTTCTGATAAGTGCCTCCTTGCATAAACATTTCTACTCCAGAGTCACACAGACCAGAAGCACCTCAGGAGTCTTTTGGGGTCACTATTCACTCAAACTATCCTTGAGAACTTCAGGTGATAATAAAGGCACCAAGGACAACTAAGAAGGCCTTGTAACACCATTCCTTCCCCCTTTTCCTTGGACAACTACTGCCTACCTTCTTAGGAACCCCAGATGGGAGGCAAGAACCAACTCATTGCTTTCTTCTCCTGACTCACTTGGACCTCCTCCTCCTCCTACTTCATCCACCCTCCCTTTTGATTCTTGATTAGATGGTTAGAACTGGAAGGGCAATCTAGTTTGACAAGCCAGGCTGGAAAGATAATCTAGAAAGGAATGTTCTCTTCAGCCAGCCTAAAGTTCTTCAAGTTTGTGGGACAGACTTCTCACCAGGATTTTCTGGCCCCAAAATATTCCAGTGATGGCATCGGGCTAGGAAAAAAGTCCATCGGGATCTCTTTCCCCACTTTAATATTATGGTATACTTTTGTAAGTCTGTTTGGGCTTCTAGAACTAAGTAATCACAAAAAGGGGAAAAGGCCACTCATCTCCTGCTATTGTAAATCTCTGTTTGGGCTTCTAGAACTAAGTAATCACAAAAAGGGGAAAAGGCCACTTGTCTCCTGCTAGGTGGTTCCTAATGATTCTGTCTACCATTCCCCCAAAAGGTGTGGCTTAGAATGGGTCATGGGTCCCTGCCAAGATCTGTCTGGTCTGCTGTAATGGTTAATTACTTGCTCAGGAAGCTACAAAGCACATCTGTTAGCCAGGGGCCCAAGGGCCTAGGAATAGAACCTATTCCTCACCTCTCTGCCTAACATAGAAGAAGGAGCCTTAGGGAGCTCCAGATCTTCAAGCTTTGGAGAGCTCTGTTTAGCTCCAGCAGAGCTCAGAGAATAGGCCATCCACACCTTCAGGGTCCTGGCCTGCCCTGTTTCCTTCCTTGTTCCAAGGAGGAAGGGAGATGGAAAAGGGAACAGAGCTGGGCACTCCCTCCCTTCCCCCTCTCCCTGTACCAGCTGCCTAGGCCTTGGTGGCGCCTCTCGCCCCGCTGCCCACCGCCGAATGAACAAGCCCGTCAGGCAGCCCCCTTGAGCGGTGGCCATCGGGCATGGTCTCCCCACGACTGGCCTCGGTCGCCCGCGTCGCCCTCCCCTTTCCATCCCCTTCGCGCCGGCAACGATGACATCATTCCTCCCAGACTCCGGGACCGCGGACTGGCAGCAGGATGGGCGCCCAGCAAAGACTCAATGCACGTAGGCCGAAGATGCTGGGGGCTCTTCCGAAAGGGTGGGCACAGGCGGTTCCAGAGCGGCCCCGCCCCCTCTCCTGTCGGTTCCCGAGCTGTCTCATCCGCGCCCCTGTTTCTCCACCTCCCCGCGGTGCTCTCTCCTCCGCGACTCCGGCTCTAGCAACCCCCTACGCCTAAGACTCCCTGCGCTCTCCTCCGGAGAAGAACAGAATTCCGGGGTCCTGCACCGACCCCCTCGGCCCCAGACCCGCATTCCCCTCCGTATCCAGCTAACTGGAGGGATGGCCCCCTTCCTCCTCTGCCAGTCTATCCCCAGTCCCTTTTAGCCTAATTGCTCCGGGCCCCCCTCCCCCGCTCCGAGCATCACAGGCCTCTAGGGCTAAGCGGCTCCTCACCTCTCAACCCAGCCCCCAGGGCCTGCCGGCGGCGGGACCCCAAGACAGTCTCTTCCTTTCCCAGCTAAGGGCCTCCACTAGCAGTGTGCACCATTGTGCCCCAAACGTTCCGACCGACGGTCCTCCCCGTGGCTCCCTTGGCCTGTCTTTGCTGACAGAGCCCTGAGCCTTTACAGGCCTCTTTTCTGTCACCCCGCGTATTCTCGTCCTGCAAGCCCCCCTCCCCCGGCGATGCGATTTCAAGGCTCGCGTTGCCCCATCCCAAGGCGCCCCCTCCGCAGTCACCAGGGCCCGATTCCCTCCCTCGCCCTCGGGCAGCGCCCCCTCCCGGTCCTGGCCTGCCCGCCGCCCGCCCCCTCACCAGCGGCTGCATCTCCGAGTGCGCGGTGGGCACCTGGAACCGGTCGATCTCCTCCATCATGGTGCCGGCGGGCGAGCGGGCCAGGGGCCGGGCGCGGCCAGGGACGCCGACGGGACCGCGCGGGGCGGCGGCCCCAGGAGTCGGGTGGGTGGTGCAGACTAGGCCGCCCGGGACGAGTCGGGCGGGCAAGTGTCGGGACAGACGGAGGGATGGGCGAGGGGCGGGAGGTTCGCCTGCTGGCTAAGACCGGCGTGGCTCCGTGGGCTCGCCTCAGTGCTACCGCGGCTGTGGCCGGGCCGAGCCGCAGGTCTTGCCTCGCCTCCTCCTCCGCCGCCGCCTCCTGTCAGCAGCTCAGCCACTGCGGTGACTCGGCAACTCCACTTCCGGGTCCGGGACACCGCCTGAACTTGCATTATTCATGAGGAGGCGGTGCCTGGTTGCTCTAGCCCCTCCCACATGCGGGAGTTCTAATGCAAGCTGCCGCGGGTCGTATTATTCCTGAGGGGGCGGGTCTTGTGGAGCCGGAGGTTCCCCCAGCGCGCAGCCCCGCCTCTCCCTCGAGCCGGGAGGGGGCGTCAGAGGCGCCTGCGCCTTGGCTAACGGTTGGTTGCTGGGCAACCGCGTCAGGGAGGAGCAGATTCTATACTGCAAGGGCGCGGGGACCCACAACGAAGGCTGTCCCCAAAGAACCCCTGCGACTGGGAATTGAAGTGACAATCCAGATTTCCTGTGCGTGATCGAGGGGACAAACTACCTGTCCTCAGGAAAGAGAGCATTTTGTAGGTGTTCCAAGTGTTGAGGTGTTTCCTGCTTCTATCAAGATGCCCCAGAAACAGCCGCCTCGTAGGCAGGTAACACAAACCCCGACTGCTCTCTCCCAACGACCTCTGCCCTTCTCCACCAATGACCACTGATCATACTTTTATTGATCCTTCATCGTCCTTTCTCTGTTGACCCTTAAACTTCTCTCTCCCTGTGACCCCTGGCCTGTGTTCCCACTGACCTCTAACCCTGTCCTCTCTCCCTCTAATCCTAGCTTCCTCCCCACACTGCCCCTGACCCACTATTTCCTACTTCCCTTTCATTTGTCCTCCTTTCATCTTTCCATTTCCTCTCTCCACTCATATCGAAAACCCTTCTGACCAACCCGTCTTCCTTAACCTCCACCCTGACTCATGTGTCCCTCATTGCCCTCACATTCTTGTTCCAAAGAAATTCTTTTTCTAGACCTCTGCTGGATTCCCAGTGCTGGGCTAGGTGGGGACACAGGCCTTTGAGAACCCACAGAAGGAGTGCAAGAGAATTGTACAGCAGGCAGAACAGATTATGTACAGGAATTTGGCTTAGATTTTCCGTGCTGGGCGACTTTTCAGGAGAAAGAGATCAGGTAAAGAGGAAGAGGAGAGAGACCTTTCTCTCATTCTTGCCCACGCCCCTACCTCACACACCTGCACACCCCAAACACTGGCCCCTGACTATTTCTGGAACCTCATATGTCTCTCTCTGCTCTGAGCCCCTGGACCAGTCCTGTGACTCATTCAGCCATGTGAACATTGGGTCTTTGTTGCCACCTGGCCAGATGTCATTCCTTCTCATAGGAAACCCAAGAGTTGGCCCCTTCAACCACCAAGTACAGAGTTCTATTTTCACCCCCAGCATCACTCTTGATAGAAGGTGAGGTAAGACCTGGCTTCTCAAGGATCCCTCTGTGGTTGCCACTCAGTCCTTTAAGAATTCACTTTTCCAAGCCCTTTATGAGTTATCACTGTGTAGCTAATATGCAGTTTCTAGGTTTGTGAAGCAGGACTTCTATTTATTTATTCTAAATTTCCCTCATTCAGATGTAGGTATTTTGAGGTTTGAGAGCAAAACTGTGTCCATCCTGTTTGTGACCTTACATATGGCCTTCTCTTTATTAGCCTTTGCTACTTTGCTTCTTTGGCCTTCCATAGCAAGTGGACTCATCTTTCTTAAATCTCAGCAACGGTGAAGAGGCTGCTATTCCTGCATGGCCACGCCCTAGTTTTATGTTGGGGTTGAGCTGTGTTTTGAAACAGTGTGTTGTGCTTGGGCCTACTGACTTAATTTACATGAAGTTTGTTTTAAATTCAGCATTACTGATGTCTGATTCACATATGGTGAGATGGACATTTTAGTTGTACATGTTGACAAATTTTGAAAAATGTATATAGTTGTGAGCCACCACCACAACTGAGATATAGAACACTTCCTCTACCTCCAAATTTCCTTGTGCCTCATTCCCAGTCAGTTTTCCCCAGTCCCCTACCCCCAGGTAACCGCTTCTTCCTGTCACTGCAGATTATATTTATCTTTTCTAGCACTTATAGTTTGAACAAGCTTGGGGTCAGTTTCTTCAGCCCATTAGGGGAGACATTAAAGGCTAGTTTCACTGACTGCAGAGAGAGGTGACAACAGACAGAAAACAGAAACCTGGGTCAACTGGCTCTGTACACATCAGCGCTGCCCTCTGGAGGGAGGAGTTGTTTTAATATTGTGTAAATATTGGTGTGTGGGTGTTAGAAAAGGTTGGGTTGTGCTAGGTTGTACTCTTCAGTCTCTTGTCTCAGCGAAGGGCAATCTGAGTCAGTGGTGAGCTGGGCTTGGGACAGTCTAGAAAGGTTTGAGAAGTTACTCCTTTCCTCTGGAAACTCAGTCCCGTGGGGGAGACAGAACATAGGCACACAAAGATAAAAGAGGATGGGATCCCTGGGGCTGGCAGGAAGAGAGACATGGAGGTTGAAGCAGCAGAAAAGCTTCAGGAAGGAGGTATCTATGATTTGGATGCCTGTAGTGGAGAGGGAAGGTCAGGATTGAGCTTGTTAGCGGACAGAGAAGAGTTTAACTCCATTGTTCATCTCACTCCACTGATTAGACCTTTCAATGGCTTCCTTTTGCTCTCAGGATAAAGTCCCAAAAGTCTGACCTGTTTTGTTTGGCCTGCAAGGTCTAGCCTTTCTACCAACCCTACTTCAAATACCACCATCGCTCTGTGACAATTCCACAGTCCCAGCACACTGAACTGCCCTCACTTCCTGGAAGGTGACATCCACACACTCCTCTCCTCGAGGCCTTTGAAACTCCTGTTTCCTCTACCTGCTTGGTATAATCATTTCTGTCTGCTGCCACCTGTTCCATGCCACTCCGCCTCACGTCTCTTCATTTCCTTGCCATACATCAGGTCTCAGCCTGGCTGTCATATTCTGTAAGGGATTAAGTCCCCTTTCTTTTTTTTATTTATTTTTTAAAATATTTTATTTATTTATTCATAGAGACAGAGAGAGAGAGGCAGAGACAGGCAGAGGGAGAAGCAGGCTCCATGCAGGGAGCCCAACGTGGGACTTGATCCAGGATCTCCAGGATCACACCCTGGGCTGCAGGCGGAGCTAAACCGCTGAGCCACCAAGGCTGCCCTAAGTTCCCTTTCTGGAAGCAGGATAGGGTAGCCCCCTGAGACTATAAACTCAGTGATAGCAAAGATCATGTCTGTCTCATTCATTGTCAAGTCCCCTGAACCTAGCACAAAGTCTGGAATATATTAAATTCTGAACATGAATTGAATATGAGTTCTGAATGTCTGGAGCTGTTCTTTAGAAGTTTTGATCTGAGTGTTTGAGGGATAGAAAGGGGTAAGCCTGGGATGAAGAGACTAGTGGGGAGTAATAACAAGAAAATGTCACTGTAGAAGCATGTTCTGGTTCTGGGTTCATGTTTATATCTGCTTTGGCAGTAGGGCTATGAATGATTCAAATTTGAATCACATATACCCATGCCTCAAGAGCTGGGCATTAGAGATTTAAGAGGTCAATAATTCTGATAATATAAATTGTCATTCTCATTCAACAATTATTTATTGATCACCTACTATATACCAGGTACTGTTCTAGGTATTGGTGATATAGCACTAAACAAATCAAAACAAAATCCCTATTCTCATGGAGTTTACCTTTTAGTTGGAGGTAAATTGTCAATAAATAAATAAGTAAAATATATGGTTTATCAGATGCTTATAGGTATCAAGGATTAAAATAAAGCAGGGAAATGGAGTAGGAAGTTCAGGAAACCAGAAGATTATGATTTAAATATAGTCATCAGAGAAGGCCTGACAAAGGTGGCATTTGAGAAAGACCTGAAGTAAATGAACAAGTCAGCCTCCAGACAGACATAGCAAGTGTAAAGTTCCTAAGATGGAAGCTTGCTATACATGTTTCTGGATCAGCAAGGAAGGGAAGGAGGAAAGTGACAGGAAATAAAGTCAGAGGTGTATCCTTCTACTCCATAGGGTTAATCAAATAGCCTAGGGCATATTAAATTGGTGCTGATAGAGCTCCATGAATCATAATTTGTAGTTAAAATGCATGAATGTCAGGCACCATAAACCATGACCAGCTCAAAACATCACCGGTAATGCCCCAATAACAGAGTGTCCTTCCTGTAAATTTTGAGAATTCCAACTGGCTACATGTGTATGTGTGCAGGAGGAGTTTTGCAACGTTGCCAAACATTGACCGGCAGCCAGACTTCTTAGTAGAGAACTGAATTAGAGTCTTCTGTGAACTCCAGTTAAAAGCTAATTTTAGTTTATGACTAACAAATTTTAGTACTTCTTTATAACTCAGTTAGTTACCATAAAAAAAATCAGTCAGGAATTTTGCATCATTTGTCTATGAGAGCCAAAGAAAAGGCTTGCATTTTTAGATCATTTTATGGTCTCTCCAGAGGTCTCTCATGGTTGATACTTTTAGAACTGATGATCTTGATGAGGGTGACTAGGTTAGGGGAAAATTGGCAAGAATCCATGCAAGGCCAAAAAAGAGTCTTAGGTGATTCAGAGATTTTGAGTCTGGTGACTGGGCCTGGGATCCCATAGAAGAAAGGACAAGAGGAGTTGAGCAGAATCTGAGAGCAGTTGAAGTGTTTCTATATGTTCAAAGTAAGATATCCACACTCTTACAACCCTTCTCCTCAGTGTCATCCTTACACCTCTTATCTTCCTCAAGCCCTAGATATGATCCTTTGTCACTTTATCTCCTAAATATCTCTCAAATCAAACCACTTTTTTCATATTCACTACCACCTCCTTAGCCCAGCCTACATCATCTCTCACCCAGAGTGCTGTGAAAGCCTTGTAACTGGTATTCCCCTCATCTACTCATACCCCTTCTAATCCTTTCTCAACAGCTACATCAAGTGATTTTTTCAAACTGTCCATTTGATTATGTCATTCCCACTCAGAACCTATCAGTGACTTCCCATTGCTCTTAGTATAGGGACAAATTTTTTAGATAACCCTTCAGGGGCCTATATGGGCTGAGGCCCACTTGGATCTCTAAGCCTTAACTTTTATCACT